GTGGGAGCAAACCCACCACCCCAACTCCACTTGAGCCACACAGGCATCCGCATAACCCACATTTGATGGCTAGCAACACAACATATAAAATAATAAAGTCATACCATTCGCTGAACATCCAATTTATACCTCCATTCCGCCACTGATTTGCCATCATATCAAGACATATATCCACATTAAAGCAATCACCAGTTGTGCCTCTATCTTCTGCACCTCAATCCTTGAGATTCACGATCCATGGTTCACACGTATTTGCGACACCACCTTGGCTCGTATCCTTGAGCTTGCTGAACCATTGAAATTCATACTCACGAGATAATGTTGATGCATTGTGCTCAGGTGACACTGTCTCAACATACAATGAATTAGCATGGTATTGCTTCGTGGGTCAGCATTGGGCCCCGAGGGCCATAGCTCCCCACCCTCATCACACACACACACAAAAAGAACATAATAATTGTGCATATCAATCACCACATTATTATCTCTTTGTTACGAGTACAAGGCTAGTAAATATAAATTAAATTACATATCTAGAAAAAAATGCTCAATTTGCAGTAGTGTGCAGCACGTACAAACAGATCAATCTGATTACTGGCGGCTAGTTTAGGGTTTTCCTGTTTAGTTAGTTTGCTAGTCTCTCTTTGGTGAATGCCCTACTAGCCATACTCAATACTCCCGCAACATAACAAAATGCACTATATGCAAGACTTAACATTTCTTAAGTTGTTCCAAAGCTTATTTTCGAAGTGCCTAATTTACAACAGGAAAAAGAGAGACGAAGTCCCTTAAACATAACAAAAGGTGCTATAGGCAAGACTTAATATAGCATGCCAAAATTTCTGAAATTGTTACCCTTCGCAATCTTGGATTTTTTTTTAGGATCCGCAATCTTGGATTATGACACAACCAAACAGGCTATAATGCACATACTCACCATGACACAACCAAAATTTCCAAGATTGTTACCCTCACCATGGAAAGCAGAAATTTCACATAATCCGACCTAACCATTACCCAACGGGGCCAATAATTCTAAATGATTATGAGCACCATGTGCACAATAAACAGCACTACATTCCCAACCTGTAACCACCCATGATCCACATCAAGGTGCTTATCTGGACCTATATATACCATATACAACTGCAGATCAGAAGTCAATCGCCGGTTCAATCGCTCAGAATAATATACATGCATATGGAAAATCAAGTCTCATGCAGTGCTCCTGATATACTAGTACATCTCATCTACATCTGAAGAGTCACATGATTAAGAACGCGAGCCCATGCATCAACTGCATCTACCTAGCATCATATCTTCTTCGGGGTCCTAAGCCAGGCTCAAGCAAATCCAAATCCCTGCATTGTCCATAACAACGCCATAGTTATTCAATAGTCAACAACAATGTTCCACAAGGAACAATGGACGAAACTATTACAAATGTCGAAACCAGGATGTAACCCTTTCTTAAGAAAAAATGGCAGTAAGGTTTTGATGATTTTCAAAAGAAATGCTACAGACAGCAAAGGCTTGCACTAGTCATTGTTCTGAAGTTTTTACTACTTGTGAGTTTTACCTACATCTTTCTAGTGAGGGTTGTCTCACCTAGCTGCACTCATCTATGCTATTTCGTCTTCATCATGTCGACTTCTCAAACCTGCAACAAGCTTGCATGTCTTCAAGAAAGCATCCAGCAACTGCATACGAAGTACGCATGTTAAAATTCAGCTGTTCTGACTGTTGCATATCAACACATGCAGGCATATGAATAACTTCTAGGAATGCCAAAAATTTCCAACATGCTGTCAAAAGGTTAAGCACCCAGACAGCAACTTACGTAGAGATAAGAACAATCGACACCTCACACCTGCGATATGGACTTGCAGTACTTACCCCTGTGTATTTTTGCAATGTAGGAGAGTAGTGATCAAGAGTTACATATATCTTTTCGAGAAGGCTCAAATGCGTATTAACTTTGTCGCCCAAAATGACAACCTGAATCACGTAAGGAATAATGAGTTCATTGATATATCGCAAGTTATTGCAAGCACTACAAGTTTAATAAAATGAATGAACCTTTCATTGCTATGCATGTATATGACTTAATCTGTAAACAAGGAATACTGCACAAATGCTACTGTATAGGAAGAAGAAAATACAGTGTCTGAAAATGTAACCCAGGAGATAGACAGTGTAAACAAGGAATACCTTGGCTTCAGCCTTTTGGAGCTCAGAGCGCCTTGTTTCAAGCATTTGTTTGTACTAGAGGCCTACTTTTGTTAGAACCACGGCTTGTTTGACCATGTGACTGCAATGATCAGTCAAATCCTCTGATCTGAAATAAATAAATAATAACCACATCAAGTTATAATGGGGTGTGTTAAAAAGACGTTTCTCCCGAAGTTGCTGCCATGATCAGGATTTGGCAATGCCCAGTCTGTAGTCTTCGCAAGCAATTTATGACACATTCATGAGAATAAGATAAAAAATAGTTAAATATGTAGATTGGATCTGCATTTTAAATGCAAGGTGGACTAACCTGTTTTCAGTTTTTTCCGTTGACAATTTTTGCTCAATCTCCACAAACTCCTTTCACAACTTCATATAGATACCAAAATGCACTCCAATTGCTTTTCTTGCCCGTTCTTAGTGAGAGCACCATCGTAATCCATAACTGAACCGTTCAGTTTGAGAAGTTCATTATACTGCAGACTTGCTTGGGAGTCTCATGTGATCTTCCTGGTGATGTGTTGTTAGGATCTACCTCGATGTCACGCAGAATCATTTCAGCACTCTCTTGCTTGATGACTTCCGGATCTTCCTGGTGCTCTTGGAACAAATGCTCTTTCTCTAGCGCTGCTAGCTTCAGGTGCTTTCTTCCCAGGTGACAATCTCAACATTAGGATGAACTATCATGGCATTGTGTCGTGGATGCCATCGTCCTGAGGGTCCGGCTATATCCTGCGCAAAAAAGGGTGACCACATCGAGTCCCGAGGGCCATAGCCCCCCCTCCCCACCCTCTAACTTGAGCCACATAGGCACCCGCAGAGTCCCTCGATGGCGCTCGGTGGCTTCGTTCCGGCGGCCAGCGAGGGCTGGATCCCGGGGCGGCGGCCTCGGATGGCGGAGGATGAGTCGGCGGCGGTGGACTCACGACGGGCGACGCGGCGGCCGCGGTGGTGGACGATCCGTGCACAAGACGCTTGATGGAGGCCATTGGAACAAATCTGGGTGAAGACCTGCTCGCGGCTGCTGCCGAGGCCGGCGATGGCGGCACTATTCGGTGTCGTTTCCTTGTTGAAGGCATCGCTGTTGAGAAGTTCCAGGCCACTATCTGCTACCTCCGGGGGAAACCCTAGATCAGTAGATCGGATGACGGCGACATTATTGTGTCGTTTCCCTCTTGTGGCGTCATTCTTGGAGGTGTACACGGGCTCAAGGGACCAGTGGATGGAATAATTGGTGGAGCGGTGTTCCATCCTGCACATTAATGGTGGCGTTTCTCGGCGGCGTGGCGCAGTGGAGACTCGGCGCCCGATGTGCGGCGAGGGACTTGCGTAGGAGGGTGACGTTATCAGGCGTCGTGGTGGCGTCGATAGCAGAGAGGCCGGGCAAGGTGGTACAGCAGTACAACACTGAAGATGGATTGGTGACAGGTGGCTGCGGCGGCCTCATACCCGGCAGGCGTCCTGGTTGAGGAGTGTGCATAGGTGCCCCATACCCGGCAGACGTCCTGGTTGGGACCTTAGGTCTTAGATGTTTAGGTTTGGCTACGATGTCTGTTTGGTATTGGGCCCAGACTATCAGCGCCCCTTCGTCATTTGGGTAGGAGTAGCGACAGTTGTTGCTTAGACGGTGGCTTTAGTCTTACTGTTGTATGACTTTTTAAGGTCTTGTGAGAATAATTAATAAAGTGGCCGTATGCATCGCCCAGATGCAGAGGCCGGGGGTCCTCCTCCTTTTCTAGAAAAAAATGCAATGCAAGACTTAACATTTCTGAAGTTTTACGAAGATTATTTTCAAAGTGCCTAATTTACAACAGGAAAGAGACAAACTTCCACAAACATAACAAAAGGTGTTATAGGCAAGACTTAATATAGTATGTCAAAATTTCCGAAATTGTTACCCTTAGCAATCTTGGATTTTGAACCGACTATAATGCACACACTCACTATGAGTTGCATGTTGCTGGTGTAGTTGTATGTAAGAGCTTGTAAAAGAAGTGTCTGTTATTCTTTACCCTCACCATGGAAAGCAGAAATTTCACATAATCCAACCCAACCATTACCCAACGAGGCCAATAATTATAAATGATTATGAGCGCCATGTGCACAATAAACAGCTCTACGTTCCCAACCTGTAACCATCCATGATCCACATCAAGGTGCTTATCTGGACCTATATATACTATATATAACTGCAGATCAGAAGTCAAGCGCCGGTTCAATCGCTCTGAAAGTCTGAATTATACAGGCATATGAAAAATCAAGTCTCAAGCACTGCTCTTGATATACACCTCATCTACATCTGGAGTCACATGATTAAGCACATGAGCCCATGCATCAGCTGCATCTACCTAGCATCTTCTGGGTCCTAAGCCAGGCTCAAGCAAATCCAAATCCCTGCATTGTCCATAACAACGCCATAGTTATTCAGTAGTCAACAACAATACACTATAATATTCCACAAGGAACAATGTACGAAACTACTACAAATGTCGAAACCAGGATGTAACCCTTTTTAAAGAAAAAATGGCAGTAAGGTTTTGATGATTTTCAAAAGAAATGCTACAGACAGCAAAGGCTTGCACTAGTCATTGTTCTGAAGTTTTTACTACTTGTGAGTTTTACCTACATCTTTCTAGTGAGGGTTGTCTCACCAAGCTGCACTCATCTATGCTGTTTCATCTTCATCATGTCGACTTCTCAAACCTGCGACAAGCTTGCATGTCTTCAAGAAAGCATCCAGCAACTGCATACGAAGCACGCATGTTAAAATTCAGCTGTTCTGACTGTTGCATATCAACACATGCAGGCATATGAATAACTTCTAGGAATGCCAAAAATTTCCAACATGCTGTCAAAAGGGTAAGCACCCAGGCAGCAACTTACGACAGAGATAAGAACAATCAACACCTGCGACATGGACTTGCCGTACTTACCCCCGGGTATTTTTGCAATGTAGGAGAGTAGTGATCAAGAGTCACATATATCTTTTCGAGAAGGCTCAAATGCGTATTAACCTTGTCGCCCAAAATGACAACCTGAATCACGTAAGCAATAATGAGTTCATAATGATATATCGGAAGTTATTGCAAGCATTACAAGTTTAATAAAATGAATGAACCTTTCATTGCTATGCATGTCTATGACTTAATCTGTAAACAAGAAATACTCCACAAATGCTACTGTATAGGAAGAAGAAAATACAGTGTCTGAAAATATAACCCAGGAGATAGACAGTGTAAACAAGGAATACCTTGGCTTCAGCCTTTTGGAGCTCAGAGCGCCTTGTTTCAAGCATTTGTTTGTACCAGAGGCCTACTTTTGTTAGAACCACGGCTTGTTTGACCATGTGACTGCAATGATCAGTCAAATCCTCTGATCTGAAATAAATAAATAATAACCACATCAAGTTATAATGGGGTGTATTATAAAGACATTTCTCCGGAAGTTGCTGCCATGATCAGGATTTGGTAATGCTCAGTCTGTAGTCTTCGCAAGCAATTTATGAAACATTCATGAGAATGTGATAAAAAATAGTTAAATATGTTAGATTGGATCTGCATTTTAAATGCAAGATGGACTGACCTGTTTTCAGTTTTTTCCGTTGACAATTTTTGCTCAATCTCCACAAACTCCTTTGACAACTTCATGATAGATACCAAAATGCACTCCAATTGCTTTTCTTGCCCGTTCTTAGTGAGAGCACCATCGTAATCCATAACTGAACCGTTCAGTTTGAGAAGTTCATCACACTGCACATCTTGCTTGGGAGCCTCATGTGATCTTCCTGGTGATGTGTTGTTAGGCTCCACCTCGATGTCACGCAGAATCATTTCAGCACTCTCTTGCTTGATGACTTCCGGATCTTCCTGGTGCTCTTGGAACAAACGCTCTTTCTCTAGCGCTGCTAGCTTCTCCTTCAACTTCCGGTTTTCTTCATTCGACAGACACAGGGCCTTCTCCTTCTCAGAGATCACAGCTTCAAGTGAAGACAGTTTTGCATCAAAGCTCAGTGCAGCTTCATGCATGTCATCCATAGAATCATCAAGTAAACTTCTTGTAACAGTGCGGTATAGCCCATCCCTCACATCACCTTCGATTCGGAGGTCCTCCTGCTCTTCTCTGCTTTTCTCAATTTGCCTCAAGAGCTCTTCTTCTGAAGATAACTGAAGAGACATGTCTCTGCTGGCTTCAGACAGCTGAGATGATAATTCCTTAACATCCTTCATATTATCTGCAAGCAAACCTCTAAGATGCTGATTATCATAGTATAAGGAATCAATTTTGCTTGCCAGTCTGCAGCCTTCATCGAGTTCATCATGAGTCGTGTGAAGTGCGGGTGCCTTTATATTCTTGGACATGATTTGGTCCATTCTAGCGATGATCTGTGGGATTTTCTTTCTTAAAGGTTCAAATTCCACATCATTCTGAAGAGCAAGAGACCCCTTCTCTCGTTTCAATTTGAAGAGCTCCTCTGTCTTTTCTTGCAAGGCCAGTTCATGCGCCCTCTTCAATTTGCTTATTTCAGACTTAAAGTAGCTTATTGTTTCTTCCCTGGTCATAGCATTCAAATGGCGGAAGTCAGATTTTTCCGAGATAACCATGGATTTCTGTTTCCTAAAACTCTTCCTTTCCTCGGTGCGGGGTGAAGCATGATCCTCCTTTGTTTTCTTTCCAAATAAATACTTCCACTTATTGCTCTTGCTACCTGAACTTTCTTGCTTACTGTGAGAAATGTGTGATTCTGGTACTGAAGGCAACAGCAGCTTAGAAAGAGCACCCAGGTCCTCACGCATCGCGGCAAACTGAGATACTGCTTCCTGCCAATTCTTACTCATGATGTTTGTGACAGAAATTTGCTCATACAACTTCCTCTCTAGCTCCTCCTGCAAGCCAGCAATGCATTCTGCGACCGTAATGCCGATGATTTCCAGTTGCAACTCATGCTCCCACTGAAGATCAGTAACCAACGGGTTGGTCAGGCCAGGCATGTCCCTAGCTTGCCGGAACACGACGGCCAGCAGCAGCTTCAGTGCGTTGAACCTTTCATCTATCTCGATTAGCATCACATCAAGGGACATGCCCAGGTGTGTGCTGACTATGTAGCCAGTATCCGGTAAAGCGTAGTTTTCCAGACCTGTTACATCCCCCTTGAGCTTATCCAGATGTGTATCTACTTCCAGTTTCATCATATCTAAGTACTCCAAGTAGTTGGTCTCTGCATTTGGGGCGCAAATGTGTCGATTTGATCGTGACAGCGATCTTCCAGACCCTTCGAAGTAGCTCTCAGTGCTGGAGTTGGACTTGAAGGACAAACTTGGCGTCAGTGAATCTTCGGATGTTACAGACCAGCCGTCTGGAACGGTTGGTCTGTTGGGCAGAGAGGTCATTCTTTCACTAAACACCTGCAAACGGATTTTTAGATTTAGTTTAGCATCAGATGGGAAGGTTAACAGTTTGACACAAATTTTAATCTTCGAATTAAATTAAACTAGCTGACGGAGGAATAGTCTTAAACTTGAGCATAAGAATGATGATTTTACCTTCACTGGAAGTAAAATTGAAAAAACCGATAAATGAATATACTAGCATAATTTGTTTTCAGCATTACATTCACATATGTAAACAAATGGTACGGATCACACATGAATTCTTTGTTTCAAAGAGGAGAATATAGCACTCTGTTAGTTCTGTTGAACTTACCAACAGCCAATCGTTGGACACGGTTGTTTGAGAATATGCTCACTGGACACAAGAGAAAACTGATAACTAATTGTCGCATATTTCAGGAGTAGCACGACGATGTTAGATTATGACTGCGGCCCCAAGGCAGAGTGGGTGAAAATTGAAACACTGCTCAAACTGTATGGAAACTTTAAAATTGTTTGGTCCAAAGCACCAGATCACTGGACACAACAGAAAACTGATAACTAAACAGTGGAAGACAGTTGCTAATTCGTCAAATACTTGCTCAAAATTCCAAGTTCAAATTCAGTTCCCGTGGAGAGAAACTAAAAACAGAAATCCCTGGCATGATTCATGTTTATATAAGAAAAACTGACGAAATGGAGCGTACACAGATGTTTGATTGATTCAGAACAGAGGAAACACCTGACCTCGATATGCGAGAAAAGAACACATTTCATAATGATTATATCCGGTTCTTGGAAGAAATGAAAGTGTCCGAATCCTCGCCACCTTATGTGTGGAACGAGCAAGCACGCATGGACAGAAAAAACAGAGCATCGACATGGACGGCACAAGACTAGAGGCACGCATACCTTGGTGATCGGATGGCTCGCCGCCTGGATCGTCTCCATGGCCGCCGCGCCTGTGTCGCCGATGGCGGTTTAATCGGCTGACTTCCTGCGCGCGAACACCACAGCCTAGCGCTAATTCGCGGCTGCTCCGGCGTCCAGGTAGGCACTAACCGGCACTAACGAACGAACTACCCGGTCGTACAGGAGACAGGGGCCGCCATTATTGGACTGGTGACTTGGGGAGGAAGAGGATAGAGGGGATAGGCGGAAGACGGGAGGCGATGGCGACGGAGAAGGAAGGGAGTGAACTCGCGGGGTTAATGCGGGAGACAGCGACCGCCGCGGCCGGGGAGAAAGCGTATGAGGATAATACCGGGAGGGTGGGTAGCCCGGGGGGCGAACGGATCGCCGGCGCGTCGCCAGGTAGGTGGCGACGGACGGGGCTGGCGGCCGGGATGGGATGGTGGCAGCGGACGCCGGCGGGGCCCGCCTCCGGCGAGATGTAGACGGGAGGGAAACAGTCCACTGAGTGGTGCCCGTTCTGATTGGCGGGGGTTTCGGTTCCGTTTTCCACGGGACGCATCCGGTCGTACATCGCCACCACTTATTTAATCGTTGGTTAATTAGCTTTTGACCAACAATTAATCGTTGGTTAGAATTAGTGGTTAGAATTGGTACTCCCTTCGTCTAGGTGTGTAAGTCACCTTACAAAAACCAAATAATCCTAAAACACTTAGACATGGTACATTAACTCCCTCCTCGTTTCTTGTTTTGTGACATATCAACCAATAAGAGATGTAGGCGTGTTATCAAACATGACATGCAGTGGATAGTTTATTGCATGCAATGTTATTAATTAGCAAAAAGACATTAAGTTTTTTTGTTTTTCTATCCGCCTTGGTCACGGTGCACAACGTAAAATGACTTACACACCTAGACGGAGGGAGTATAAAGGTTCACCATAGTTAGTAGTGCAAAAATTGATGGTGTTTGGTTAATTTAAAAACACTAGTAAACCAATAAAAATGTTATTGCTGGTCAATGTCTTGTTTCAACCAACCAAATAGCCCTTCGTAATCATTTCCGCACGGGTAAATCTAGAATTTATCCTAGTATACCTCATGGATCATGAGACAAGCGTTTTATTATCACTAAACACACAAAATGTGTGAATGCGATACACCGGTTTTTTTTGCGAAAATACCAGATCTATTACAGAGATTTATCGGACGTACAAAGCACCCTAAACATAATAAAAATTAGGGTCTGTCTAAGGTACATCTAGATGCCCTAGAGTTATTTGCACATCTAAGTGACTCAATTAAACTAGAAAGAAAAATGAAAAAAAACAAAATAAAATGCTTGCATGAATCTTAGCATTAAATCAATGACATATGACTTAGATGTGCAATATTTAGAGCACATCTAGATGTGCTTTAACAAAACTGTAAAAATTAAATCGAGGTCTATGGACAACCGAATGGCCATTGTCACCGTCAGAACGAGCCGCCGACACATCGTTGTTGCCGCTCTCAGACCGGAGCCGGCTTGAACTTGTCGATGACAGCCGAGAAGTCTTCGTGCACGTGTCCCTATGGACCATCATTTGGGAGCCGCAGTCGTCGCCATTAAATCCTTGAATAAATCTGAAGAACCTGGCACCAAATCTTGTCGTTGCGTGCGCATGACAAGAAACCCTAACCGAGGAGCTGGTAGGAATCTACTCCGGAGCTCTGTCTAATCCGTCCCGACGGACGAACTTGAGAATGATTGGAGCCTGGAAGACTGACTCGAAAAAGAAGCGCCGCCATCCGTCCGAGTGTCTCCCTTGTGAGAACAAAAATCCTACCTATCTAAGCCGATGTACCAGGAATACCCTCGCAGTCACCAGCCGCTAGAGCGGCGGACGAAGGCGGAGATTGAAGGGAAGAAGGCTTTCCCTTGTCGCCTTAATGTGATACACCGTTGCATGCTCGATCCAAGGATTGAACTTGACGGGGCAGGCTGCGCAACATCGAGTCTTACCAATGAGCCGCGGATCAGTTGTGACAAAGATGATCCCAACACACGGCGCCGCTACAAAAGATCGTAGAGAGTCGTTCTACAATTTTGTGATAGTCATGATTTGACAGCAAGAAAAAATACGATTTAACCATATAAGAAAATTTATCAACATCTATGACATCGACTCATGATTTCATCATGAAATATACCTAAACGATGCATGCTAATTTTTTTTATTATTCTTCTGAAAAGAAAGGTCATCCTCTGTAATTTTTATCTGACAAAACATGTTTATATAGAAATTCATGTTAAAGTGTAACTTTAAGAACTATATCATTCCAAAACGACATGAGTTTTTGGACGAATGTAGTACATCATCTCCTGTTGTTGGATGTGGAGACACGTATGTTAATGCAGTGCTGGCGTTTAGGTGAGGGAACAATAACAACCCATATAACCGATTCTACATGAGACAAAGCATGTGCGTAGAATGAAACGAACAGATATTCGTAATTTAAAAAGTTGGTAGTACATGTATAGGGCTCGATCTGAACAGTTGGCATTCGTCATTTTGACAATGTGGCCAGTGAGTTGTCACAGGAGGCAATCATAGAGCAGCAGCAAGGCAAGTCAATGATGGGAGCATTCTTGTCTGAGGAGGGATTTTGTTAGGTCAGAGAGAGAGACGCAGCGCTGCTGGCTTGCTCTCGCTCTTGTGACGGCCGGAAAGCGGCCGTCTGCTGTTTCGAGGATTAACTGAAACTAGAAGCATGATTTACAACGATGTTGCATGGTTGATTGGTATGTAGAAAAAATAAAGCATAACCTTGCTCGGTTGAGCGTGAGAAAGGAGTGCCAAAATAATGTGGTACTAGCACGGTGCTGTTGCGTTGCCACGGAACCATTGGCTTAGAGGTAGTGAAATAACGTTAGTGTCATTTATCAATGTCGTCAGAGAATTTTAAATGACCATATTAGTTTGGGGATAAAACTAAAATTAAGAGCGGTTTTGGGTTCAAGTCACATTTTTATCTTGTTATTTATGCCTTTTACAAAATGTTAGTCTCACAAGAAAGTGATGTATTTGTTTATTTATGATAGATCCCACATATGAGTAAATTACATTTGTTTATATGTCTCTTGGAGTCCCTTCGAGGATATCCGATAAAATATATGTCTCTTGAAAGGTTGCTAGTTTCAGGGACCCATATGTGAACTCACCATCAACTTCAATCTTTATAAGTAGGAAAGAAGTTGAATTCAGAATCTCAAGGTCTGTCTTACAACCTGGTTCGGACCATGACACAAGGATATTCAAGGACACATTGGACAAGTACAAAGAGAAGTTTTATCATCCTTCGTCGGGTATTTCCTTAAAATAATCATGCAACTCAACTTGACAATGTATTATGTTCCTGTTTGACATAAACATTCACTGTGTAGGAGAACACTATCTTGTTGTTTTTTCTCTACCTTGAACTTTGTATCGCAGGCATGACTTAGCACAACTAGGAAAGCAAGAGAAGATAAAGATACGCGAGACTAGAAAAATATTCGTCGGATACCCCAATCAGTTTGGTTAGCTAGCACCATTTCAGAGGAACAAAGTACCATCTACTTGAGTTTCTACTTGGCCCTATTGCAAGTGGTAGAGGAGTAGTATTCAATTATCTCCATTCTTCACTCTGAAATGTCACATAGCGTTTCTTTTGTGTGTTGAAGCAGAAATGGTGCATTTCTCAAACAAAAGCCTAGCTATCTCCCCACGAAGCAAGCAAGGATTATCGCTGCTCGTATGACATTGAAAAACTTCATAAGAGACAATAGTTTGTATGATTATTGGGTGCCGATGATAATCTAGTATCCTCCAGACCATGTGGTCAATACTATGTGGGAAGTGAAACTACGACCATGGACGCAACTTGGAACATGATTGCCGATGATGTGTTAGCGATAGAGAGTAGGATTGTCGTATAATTGATGATACTGAAAACCGTAAGTAGTCCCGATAGGATGGTGTGCAGGACCGGAAGTACCAGAGGGGATCGCACAAGGGGGGTTTACCTAGTTTTGGGTCCTCGTCATGGAGGTAAAACCCTACTCCTACTGTGAATTTGATTGATGAGGGAAACACCCCGTGTGAGGGGGTTACAATATGTGTGGAGATGTTGCTATAGATACTATGGCTATGATATCAGATATCTTGAAGTGCCCCTGATGAGGAACGTTACATGAAAATAAAAAAATTCCTACGAACACCCAAGATCTAATCTGGGAGATGCATAGCAACAAGAGGGGAGTATGTCTACGTACCCCCGTTGACCGAAAGCGGGAGCGTATTTAACGCGGTTGATGTAGTCGTAATCTTCGCGATCCAATCACGATCCAACCGATCTAGTGGCGAATGGACGACACCTTGATGACCCACAAGTATAGGGGATCAATCGTAGTCATTTTGATAAGTAAGAGTGTCGAACCAAACGAGGAGCAAAAGAAAATGACAAGTGGTTTTCAGCAAGTATTCTTTGCAAGCACTGAAATGGTCGGTAACAGATAGTTTGATAGCAAGATAATTTGTAACGAGCAAGTAACGGTAACGGTAAATAATATGCAACAAGGAAGCCCAATCCTTTTGTGGCAAAGGGCAGGCCAAAACAGTCTCTTATGATAAGCAAAGCGTTCTTGAGGGTACAAGGGAATTTTATCTTGTCACTTACATCATGTTAGTTCGATTCGTGTTCGCTACTTTGATAATTTGATATGTGGGTGGACCGGTGCTTAGGTGCTGTTCTTACTTGAACAAACCTCCTACTTATGATTAACCCCTCGCAAGCATCAACTACGAGAAAAGTATTAAGATAAAATCTAACCATAGAATTAAACTTTTGGATCCAAATCGGTCCCTTACGAAGTAGCGCATAAACTAGGGTCCAAGCTTCTGTCACTCTAGCAACCCATCATCTGATAACTACTCCACAATGCATTCCATTAGGCCCAAATATCATGAAGTGCCATGTAGTCGACGTTCACATGACACCACTAAGGGAATCACAACA